TTCCTTTGCCGGCTTTTCCCAAGGAAGTGACCTACACAGCTGCAATCAGCTCTTGTGTGCCTTAGCTAGCGTGTGGTCAAACCTTTCAACGACGCGGGGCTGATCTATTGGGATGTAGTTTGACTCAAAGGTAAAATACATTAAATTGAATTAAACTTCTTATATGTTACGTATGTAGATGAATTATGATGAATTGGTTTGCTTTCGTGGGTGAAACAGGCTCCTGACGCCGCTCATCAAAAATTGGGTACCTCGTTTGACAGGAGCCCTCAGCGAAATGGGATGTTGCTTTGGCCTTGTTTATGGAGATGACCCAGGAAATCCCGCAAAAGTCCTCTGAGACGGGAATGCAAGCTGGGTCAGCGCTTGCGAGCGTTCAAAAGCTACTTGGCCGGTCCCGTGCCTTAGATGTGCTGAAGCAATTTCGATCAATCCTGTGGGATGGTGATCAACCTCTGAGAGACTCACCGGTGGGTCACAAGCTGAAGAGTTTCCAACTCCTTGTGGAAGCGCCTGGAGTCCTCGCTTTTGAGAAGCCCTGTGGTTTTTGAGACCGGGAAGGCTCTCCGGACAGTTTCACAAGAACTGAAGATGCCAGTGGCTGGCATCAGCATCAGGTAACCTCCGGCATCGTTCCCGTGGCTGTGGGCGCCGAAAGTTCCGGTTCTACCGGAGAGATCTGCAAACCGTTGAGGCTGTGCCCTGAGAATCCTACAGTGATGGAGGTCTCCTCAGAGGGTCGACGACGGATGGACCGAGAGAGGTGCAGAGTGTTTCAGGCATGAGGCGTGCGTGCGTGAGGATGAAAGTGGACATGGAAGAGGTGAAAGAGAGGTGGGGGTTGAACAGCATGTTTAGAGGTGAAAGAGGAAGTGAAAGAGAGTGAGATTCGGGTCCATCTGGTGTAATGTATGCTTACATTGCGATCAAAGAGCAAAAGAGTTGTGAGTTGTGGGAGATCAGAGACGCTGAGAAGAAATCGAAGTGAACATAAGGAGGCAGCAGCGCCAAACCGCATGGTACAGTAACAGCACCTACGCAAATAGAGTGGGGTGTAACAAAAGTTAAGAAGTGCAGCGATAAACTAATAAATGCGCAACAATATTGGAAAAGAGAGGTGGGAAAGGGTATATAAACATCGATTGTGACACTTCGAGAAGTATTTGCTCATTTCTCATACAACTCAATTATGTGGGAGACGCCTGAAACAGGTTGCATGTATGTATGGACAATTGTGCTACTAGGACGGATCCCAGTGAGGCCTCACCTCACCGGCAAAAAATGGGAGGCAGCGCGAGGCTGCTTCTGGAACGAGTAAAGCATTCTGTAGCTCCTGCTGCAACACAAAGCAGATGCCAACGAGAAGGGTGTCGATAAGGGTCAAAGGAGGACTCCTTTACACATAGCGATTGCAACCGTTCACCTCTCGTCGCGCAGGTGATGCCATGGAACAGGACATTTCACCGCACGGTGAGATACAACAATGTAACCGCAAGCCTCGCAGGCGCCGCGAATCATCCCGCTCCCCAGCGACACGGACACGCCGCATTTACACCAGCACGCTTTCCTTGCCCCAATGGCACGCAAACGCACTTCGCGGAAAGCCACATGGCGCAGCGAAATCGCAGACTTAATTTGGCCACACGGTGTGGAACAGACTAGATTACTAGATGCAACAATGTAACACCACCAGGTAGCCAATTCTGATGCCACAGCTCCCGGGCACCTTGAAGTAGCAATATTCCTGCAGTTTTTTGACACGTGACACGCATTTCGCGCGAAAAGGTTGCCACTGACAAATTGAATTCGCAACAGAAATTGACGCTTGACTGACATGCATTTCGCAATATACATGAAATCGCAAAAAACCCGCAGGCTTTGGAACTTGATTCGCGCGAAAAGGCTGCCAGCTACAAGTTGAAATTGCCATATTCTTTCAGTTTTGGAGAGCTCGACAAGTGCTTTTATCAAGAAGGCTGTTAAAACTTAACGCGTCTCCGAGGAGCGTGCAGAGGCCACATCAAGTAGCTGAACACAGGGATGTTTTTCCTGCGTGACCATCTGAAAGCATCGAGCTCTTGGAAAGAACCTGAGGTCCGAGCGTTGCGCCCATGTGGAGCGTGAAGGCTGCAGACCAACAGGGCCCAGGGTTTGTTTGCAAGAGGCGCAGTACCTCACGATTTCCACTGCTGGCAGCAGTTTTTGCTAGACAATGTGATGGCCAACGCTCGCATGTCCATCGGTCCATCGGTATACAGACTTCGATTCGGTAAAAGGGGATTAGTCCGGATGGAGAGACAAATGCGTTCGAGAACAGGCTGGATGCCCCAGCGCATCATGAACCATATGAATACTTCGACGCAGTCACTGGGGCTACGTTGCGCAAAGAAGCAGTCCTAGCAGCCAGGCAAGTTGAGATGGATCAGCCGGTGTACGCAAAAGTGCCGTTTGATGAGTGCTATCCCACCACAGGGCGACCTCCTATCACTCTTGGGACAAGGGAGACAATGTGAAGGAGAACTAACTCAGACTCAGGCGCTTCCAGGTCAGGGCGTCCCAGAATGCGAGAGCTTTGCTTTTGGAGGCGCTGAAAGCGCTTTTTGTTCGCTATGACTTCCATGATGGTCAGCGGCCGCGCAAAAGCGCTCACGTTGAAGTTGTTTGTTAAAAGCCATGCGCACCTTTACGGCAATTGACAGCGTGCAGTATACACCCTTCCAGCCACAGCAGGCTAGTGTGCGAATTTTGTCAAAGCATGTAGCGGACCCAGGATGCAGTGCCGATTTTCGGTTGGCAGCCCACGTGCAGTAAACTTCCCAAGACTCATGGAATACAAGCTGGAACGGCGTGGCTGTCGATCTTCTACGATGTCGAGTCTGGCAAGATTTCTCGTTCACAGTGATGACTTCGTCATTCGGGCGATGAGTGCGCATCGAGAAGATCGTTCGCCAATCTTAGCCTCAAAACTTGAATTCCAACTGGACCGTTGCGTAAACCCAGAAGAGTCAGATGGCACGGTGAACGTGCTGAACAGAAATCTAAATCCATAGGGGTGCTGACGTACGAGGCAGACCCTACGCGCAAAGATCATTGTGAAGCAGTTGAAGCTAGAAGGTGCTCAAGAGAATGTCTTGGCATGAGCAACTAGGCCGGCGCCGTAGTGCTCGTGCACGCGCGCGCAGAGAAAATCACCTCAACAGACGCTGGAGCCTCAGCAGACGCACAAAATGCGTCGAATCCCTGTTGGCCAACGCCAACTTCCGCCAGGTACAAAGACCGGACTCCACGGGAAGACTCCCGTGCTCAGTCAGGCGGTCAAAGGGAAGCGTGTAATGACTAACGCGTAGCAAACACACCATTTGCAAACGCCATTCCGGGGTAAGCAGGAAAGCGTGCTGTAATTACACGCAGTATGTTACCGAGCATTGGATGAGTCGCCCTTGACAGCTGAAAGCAAACACCGGCAACGCCCGCCATACTCGAAAGGACCCGATGAGATTCACCTGTACAACACCTGTGGCCTCAAGGCACTGGACAACGAAGAATGAAAAAGCGCAGAAGAGCGCAGGTGTGAAAAGCTGACTTAAAGCCGAGGACATCAAGCGCTGGTCAAACAGCACTGCGCAATCTTGTGCAAAGGCAAAAGGTTCTTAAGCAAAAGAGCGGTATTGCGTACGCCCCACAAGACGAGGTGGGACATGTCAAACGAGACATCTTGTGTGCAGTCTCTCGCCTCCCGAAGTGCCTTGACCCACGGCATGCACACCCGTGAGCTAGAAGGTGCTCAGGAACTGAGCACTCCAGCGATGAAGTAGCCCACTGAGTCGGGGCCTTGGGACAGCGATCAGGCGACCTACGGATCATTGGTGATGGGGGCAGCATTTCTGGGTTTAGACAGAGGAGATTTGTGCAAGATTGTGGGGCGAAGCTGAAGAGCTTCGGCGCAGATACCTGCTGGGCAAGCCACGAGTTGTTCAAGAGTTCAAACCGCGACCGATGTATAGCAAGATCCACGCGTTCACAGACAGTGACCATGGTGTGCGGTCCGCGCGAGAAAATCCACCATGTCTGTGCAACGCACTTTGAAATCCTCTTCGACTTCAGATTACGATACCCCTTTCTTCAGGAGAGTCTAAATACTACACCAGGGTCAGGGCGTCGGCGTCACTGCTTGGGATCCAAAAGCTCTTCGAGAGTGGGGAGTTGAGTTGGATTGCATGGTTCTCTCTGACTCGAGTGCAGCCAGGGAACGTGCAGTCGACGTGGGCTGGGAAAGACCAGACGTGTTCAGACCCACTATTTCCGGGTCCAGCAGAAACTTAGGGCAAGGAGTTCGAGTGGGAGTATGTCGCAGACCTTTACACGAAACTTTTGAGCGCAGAGACTTGTCGGAGACGCAGACACGCGCCTGTCCAGCTCGCAAAGAAATTGGGTGAGAGAAGACTTGCCTGTAGAACAGACAGGTTTAGGAGGGGTGCTTGGATGTAGGTCTTGTACATAGCATGACGTGTCCAACCCCGGCTTTGGCTTAAAAAAGGGTCCGTGAGGCTTTGAGGGTTCATGCGTTCGTTCAAGTTCAGAATCTGTTAAGTTGGTGAGTTCCGGGAACAAGTTAAACTCATTCAAGTAATTTGTGGACAATGTGCTCTTCAGAGGTCGTTCCACAGTTTTCAGATCGACAAATGCTTTCCTTATATAAGTGCAGATGAGTCAGATGAGCCAACGTCCCCCCTTGAGGCCAGCCACTCCTTATCGAATCTCCGCTTCCGCCAGAGCTTTCTGATGTGCTGAGTCAGCTTGCAAAGTTTACACTCAGCTTGCGGCGGTCGAGGAGAAATGGGAAAGGAAATTGAAACTCGCCGGGCATGCTGATGAAGCAACGGAGTGTAGCCCTGCACCCATGCATAGCCTTGCGTTAGTCAAGTCGACTTGACACTCCCCAAACCAAATTATATTTGCACCACGGAAACAAGAGATTGCCTGACTGTTCTACTGGGCAGGTTGCGACCTACGACCAGTTTAAATCTATTTACGGAAAGTTGGGAATCAAGGCCAGCTGCTGCAGTTTCATGCCTGATGATGCTATCAGTGCAAAAAGTCATTGACTGAAGGGATCTTGAGATATTTTTCACTATTTTTCACAGGGCAGTGGCAACGTGGTGGCTTCATCTTTCACAGCAGGGTTGGTTGGCAGCTGAGATGCCAAATGGTTCTGTGAGGTCATCTCAGGCTGCATGTTTCCCTTGATACAAGGTCTATTCCATCATCACCATGCCATTTGAGGCAGGTGAAACTGAGTTTAGAAGAGCCTCTCTAGACTCTAGCTGCTCTCAGTGACATTGCCTGTGCAGTCAGCGAAGAACCGGATGGCGTCTCAAAAGCCTGATCCGGAGACGGGAAAGCTGCCGTGAGCCGGCTGTTCATGAGTTGTTTGAAAGTGAAAAGGAACACACTCAAATGCTTGGCATCACTGGTGTTGTCGCAAAGGGTTCTAGAACGTTGATGGTGCCTGTCAAGGTACCGCGGCACTTTGCAAACAATTCAGACAGTGGCAGGTGCAAGCTGTTCAGAAGTTAGGGCAGAGTGAATCTGATGCTGCTCCCAGTCCACCTATCCAGCGTTGAAGAATAGACATCACTGCCTGTCCTGTGCTCCACCCAATGGAAGGCAAAGAAGGTGCTGCCGCCCTCTACAATGGTTTTTTCCCATACTTCCTCAGGCGTCGCATTCTGGGTTGCTGACAGTTTGAGATGGCTTTTCATGCTGAGTTTCGGCCAAATAACTATTTTGATCAGCGTCCTTTGCAATTACTCGTCATCGTGATCCTCAAGCCGTTCCTTTTCTGAATCCGGTCTATCATTCTCAGTGATCGTCATGCAGCCTTTCCCATCATTCCATCGTTTTGGGAGCATTCTTTCTTTGCTGCATAGGTACTGGTATCATTTGGGTTTGTACTTTCTTAACGCGTCCAGTTCATGGAGAGTTATGATGTTCGATTTCGGCGAAGCATAGCCCGAAGGTATTTTTGACAAGGTCGCTAGGTCCTATTCTATTGTCACTAAGAAGTCTCGAACATGTTTTCCATGTGCTTAGGTGTGGCGGTCACACCGTGCTGATGTTTTTTGCCGTGGAGGAGTTGCAGAAGATGTGACCTCCTATTGATGGCGTACCCTTCGTATTCGTTGTTGATCGCAGTAGTCAAATGATTTGGGAGGTACCAGAAAGCCGCATGATTTGAATGGGCTCTTGAGCGAGAGGTGCTGCTTCATGCCTTTGGTCTCAAGAGATGCGATGAAAGGATCTGAAAGGTAACTGTCCGTTTGTGGTTTCCAGACAATAAGGGAGAGAAGAGGGGCAAGCAGTAGTGATAGCTGATAGCTTGTACAAAGCCTTCGAAATGCTGATTCTCGAGCGGAACATGGAGAAACAGAGCGAGCCCCTGAGGATTCCGTAGGCTAGCATGATTCCAATTGACGCAGCGACTTCATGCTGGATCTTCTTTTTTGCACTGAATTGTGGTTCAAAAGAGAGACAGTGCTTTCTTTGCTGAAGCTCTCGTTTGCTTCATTTTCCAGCAATGGGCAACTCGCAAATAACGAAGGGTGCTAGCATTCCCAACGTGACCTTGGACAAAGGTTTCCCACCGAAAAAGGTGCCGCTTTCAGAGATCATTGGTGGCAAGAAGGTGGTGATGGTGGGTCTTCCGGGGGCATTCACCCCCACCTGATCTAACAAGACGGTGCCTGGCTACCTGGCCAAGCAAGCTGAACTGAAGGCCAAGGGAGTCTCTGATGTGATTGTGTACTGCGTCAACGACTGCGCCGTCATGGATGCCTGGGCAAAGGACCTGAAGGTTGACGGGTCCATCGTGTCCTGTTATGGAGACAGTGGCTCGCTTCTCACCAAGGCGTGTGGATTGGAACTCAAACATCCAGGGGTGCTCCAAGTCCTTGGCAATCCACGTTGCAAGAGGAGCACCATGATCGTGGAAGACATGGTGGTCAAGGAGATTTTTGTTGCAGAATCAGAGAACGATCCCTCGGGAGATGCCGCTCCAGAGAGCACATTTGTCGACAACATCTTGGCACACTTGTAAAGCTTTTGCCGGGAGGACGCTGTCACTGGCACAGGTAGAATTTTGATAGATCCAAGAGAATTACTGTGATTGAAGCATATTCAAGCCATATGCATCCAAAGCAAGCTATATATTCAAATGATGTTTCTTTCTGTGCCAGAGATTGGGGTCAATCGTATGTAAACTTTTGGTTTTGGAGATAAGAAGTTAGAAGGAACCACGTGCTTGCTTCCACAAAGAAGGGCTTTGCAGGCACGAGTGACCAGGTCATTGGAAGCATACTTCTCATGGACCTGTGAGTGCTGCTTTCAGAATCCTCAGATGCAACATTGGGTGGATTCCGACTTCGCTACGCCGCAAGACAAAATGAATGCAGTTTTGGCATCGCTGTTAGGTTGGAGGCCATTGCTATTAGGTAGCATGCAGTGCACATGTTTTGAGCCGCAGTTACATGTTGAATGCCCCTGTTTGCCTCGCAGTTGAAGGTGCATGTCACTTTTGCGAAGACTAGGATAAATTGGAAGATTCCATAGCACACCCATGAGCTTGGAACACCATGCAATGCGTATTTTTGCTCAATGGTAGCAGTACACGCATGAAAAATCAAAAAGGTCACAGATTGGCCATGTGGACATATCCATCATGACAAGAGTCCATTTCAAGATAGCTTTTGTTTCCCACCTCCATCATGAGCAATAAACGGCCTTGCCCTGGTGCGTCTGCTCCAATCGCCAAGGGTGACAAGATTCCCGACGTGACCTTGGACAAAGGATTCCCACCGAAAAAGGTGCCGCTTTCAGAGATCGTTGGTGGCAAGAAGGTGGTGATGGTGGGTCTTCCGGGGGCATTCACCCCCACCTGATCTTCAAGACAAGTGCCTGGCTACCTGGCCAAGCAAGCTGAACTGAAGGCCAAGGGAGTCTCTGATGTGATTGTGTACTGCGTCAACGACTGCGCCGTCATGGATGCCTGGGGGAAGGACCAAAAGATAGATGGGTCCATGGTGTCATTTTATGGAGACACCAGCTCTCTTCTCACGAAGGAGATCGGCATGGAGCTGACAGATTCGCGTGTGATGGAAGCGCTTGGCAATCCACGTTGCAAGAGGCATGCAATTATTGTCGATGATATGGTTGTCAAAGAGGTCTTTGTTGCCGCTTCGGAAGACGATCCCGCAGGAGATGGGGCTCCAGAGAGCACTTTTGTAGAGAATATTTTGAAACACTTGTAATGTGCATCTTATTTGTAAAGCACATCGCTGTCACCGCTGCTAAAGTCTGCTTGAATTCACTCAATACATTATAATTGCTGAGATACTGAACCCAGAGACTGCAGCAGCGGAATTTTGTTGGGTGTTGCAACGAGTGGCCTTTTTGCTACAGGGGCGTTGTGCAGAGACGAGTGACCGGCAGCAGCTCAGCTGCTCCGGGAGTGTTGCTTTGCAGAGCACCAAGCTGTAGCATGTCATATGGCAAACCAACTATGTTTCGCAGGCCAAAAAAGACCATCAGAGACATAGTCTTTGAACATCATGTGGGAAGCCTCTAGAATGAGTGGATCAAAGATCGATGGTCAATCCATGACTTGTCTAGATAGATCTATACACTTGAACATTTACAATCCAAATGAACATTTCTGCAACCGTACAGCCCATGGGCAACAATGTTTGCCCTGCTGTCAGAGACCATGGTCCATGAAAAAGCTGTAGACCAAGTTGGTCAAGGTCCATTGGGCGATCCAAAATGATAGAGCTGCCTTAGACCCCAGACCATCCTGACAATTGACAAGCAACACGTGTGCTGCACGGTGCAGGTGTGAAATCATACAAAGGTAGAGCTCCTTATTGAAGGAGTACAATCCACATGAGCCTTTCTGCAACTTTGAAGTCTTGCAGATTTTCACCCTTTCGCATTGTGCCGATTGCCAATGTTTTGCGCTGCCAAGACCAAGCAGATCCAAAGGCAAGAATGTCCATGGTGTCGGTGTATGCAAACTATTCTATTGTTGTTCCCAACCAGGCGGTGTTTACGTAGCGCCCTTTTGGAGAGGATGCAACTTTGGAGGTAGAGGGAAAATGGGGAACATTCACTTGAGGATGAATGTATGTACAAGGGTCGGGGTTGGCCTTTATCTCACCTCCCATCCGCAACAAGCCATTACAGTACACGGTAGACCGTAAGACCATAAAGGCGTTCTCTTGGGGCTCCTAATTGAAGCCAAGTTTAGACGGGCAACTGGCACTAGGCGGACAGACCCGCAGTCAGGGTGACATGAAGATTTTAAGCCTACTTAAGCTGTAAGGATTCATAGAAAAAACATGTCCCGGCAAGAGACCACGGACAGTATTCAGAAGATCATGATGATGAGTGAAACGATGACTTTTTGTTGTCCTAGTGGTAGTGGCACTGGTACGGGCTAGTAGTAGTAGTAGTAGTAGTAGTCATAGTATTTCGTAGTATTTCGTAGTATGTCGTAGTATGATGTAGTAGTAGCAGTAGTAGCTGTTTTAATGGAGCAAAGAATTTGCGTAAGAAAAAGAATAGCACATGGAGTCTGCATGGTGGTTCGTTCAGTTCGTTCTCGTTCGATTGCTTTCTTGTTGTGCCATTTTGGCTTCAAGAAGCCAGAGGAGAACATGTATCTAGAATGCCTTTTGGTGGCCTTTTTCCTGCTGGGTGCTTTGGTCGGTTCCTTTGCCACCTGGTTGTTGAGTTTGCCACCACCGCCGTTGGTCCAGCGCCCGGCACCTGGCAGCCCTGGCTTGGGGCCTGTCTTGGCCCCCACGGCCTTCGCGGCCCTGACTGGGTAGTGCCTCAGCATGAATCTGCTGCCCACCGAGACGGAGATGGCGGCTTGGACTACATTGGACGACTTCCGCCAATGGAGTGCACTGAAGGCCGAGGTCTGGGACTGTATCAACCACACCCTGGGCGAAATAGAGCAAGTCAGGCACATGGCTGGACTGCCGGCAAGCGTGCTGAAGCATGCAATGGGCGCCACGCGAATCCCTGCGCCAGGTCAACCCGATCCACGTTCCCTGACTGCCGCAGAGATGCTCATGTTGGGCTTTTTCTGGAGAGCGTGCCGCAAAGCTGTAGGACTCACAGACATGGACCCTCTGACCGACACGGTCACACCTCCTGCAGAGCCAGGACCTGCGACGCCAGTCAAAGCAGGCAAAAGAGTCAAGAGTGCAGCGATCATCGACCAGCTCGACGAGACGGAGGTGGAGCCTTTGACCAGGACGGAGCTGGATCGTGCATACGCATGCCACATCGAAGTCACGGGTGCAGAACCCACGCACGAAGCCGAGCCCACGGCCGAGCAATTGGCCGCTTTGAGAGACAAGATAGTGAAGAGGGGCGAAGCTCCGTACGCAGACTTCAGCATCTTCACCCCGTACGGAAGGCGAGTGCAACGGCAGATGAGGACGCGCTCCTATGTCTTCCAGCCCGACGGAAGCTTCAAGGCCACAGAAATCCCAGGGCCGTCATCGTTCCAGGCTTGGACAGCATGCTGGAGGGTGTTCAAGGCGGCTCTCTACATGATTCGCCACCCGAGCACGGGGGGTCAGCCGGAAAAGATGGTGGTCACAGCTGCGGTCATGGAAGAATACTTCGACCACATCGCGAAGCTCAACGAAGAATTCCCAGAGGCCTGGCACCTCATCATGCAGGCCGAGGACCGATGTCGTGGAGAGGTCTTCGAGAGATACCGTCGCCAGCTCTCCAAGGCGGCTACCGAGGGGAAACTCCCAATGGGGCTCGATTTCGACCCTACCCAACCATGGGTAGGGTTCTTCGCCTACGCCTCCCGAGACACCGAATACTGGGGGCGCCATGTTGTCAGGCCGGCGCACACCTTCCTGGGCAGAGGGGGGCAAGAGCATGTCAAACCGCAGCGCCGAGGATGTCAATGTCTCCGAGGATGCACGAGCTGCGCTGGCTGGCGTGGCAGGCAGTGTGGGGGCTTTGCATCGAGATCCCAAACGTCGTCGAAGGGAGACCAAGACCAAGGACAGCCCGCCGAGCAAAGAAGCAAAGCCGGACACCGGGGCAGACAAGGCAGAGTCCCACTCGAAAAGCGAGCACCCAAAGAAGTGGGGCACACGCTACATCACGGACTACGACGGCAACGAGATCTGCTTCAAGTTCGCAA